CAGTAATGCTTGTTCATTTGTTAAACTTTCCTTTGGAGATTTATTTGAATCTGCTGCTTGAGAAGTGTCACGAACTAAGAATCAATTGCCCGGATGTACATCAGCACTGTGTTTGTAAAGTGACTGAAATAAAAATGCATGTGTATTTGTTATGTACATTTATATGCAATAACAACCGTGTATCACACTGTTGGTTGGTCAGTCCATAACTCAGTCCCCAGTGAAGTATCTCATTTTCAACTACTTTAAGGATGGGCATGAGATTCTGTGCAGACATTCATGATCCTTAGAGGATGAATCCTAATGGCTTTGGTGCCACAGGCAGGTCACAGGTCATCTATCCTGTGAAATAACTACTGGGTAGATTGGCGCAAAATCTGGTACAGATATCTGTGAAGCCCAGACAAATTATGGGTACATCTCAATTCCCGTATATGATCATTCCTCACTCCTTGCTTGACCCAGCAGTCGTCCTGGTCTGTCATCTTGATTAATGTCTTGAAGCGCTTATTCCTGCTCTGAGGAGCGAGAAGGGTGCTGGAGAAGCCTTGAGCAAGAACTGGCCCTTTATCAAACATCTGATGGTGACTGGACACTTCCAATGAAGGATCGACAGAAAGGACACCTCATGTCTTCAAAAAAGAGTATGTTCCATTAGTTTCATCACTATGACAAAACAATTTTTGTCAAATACTTTGGTTTATGACCAAATATCTGCAAAATTAATGACATTCTCAGTGATTCTGGTTCTTTAGTGAGAATGGTTGTGCTAACATGCTAATCTAAGAAAGAAAACAAGATAAACATGTTATGAAACAAGGACAGACTTAAAGGCTCTATTCCATTATAAAGCCTCATCCGGTTCTTTCAAACCAGGAACTCAGAGGGACGACTCAGACCACTTGAGTATATAAAAAATATAACCGTGCTGGTTTATTCAAAGAGTCACAGGCAAGAATTAACACTTCAAGCCACACTTCCAGTCCAGAGATCTTCCAAACCCCCAGCCTGCCAAAGCAGCCCGGAAGCAGGAAGACCCCGAACCACGCATTGCTATACATTATTAATCATTTCTGGGCTGTCGAACCGTGACGTCACCTGATATGCCAGCTTGGCAGCTGAGCAGAGCAGTAGACAAAACATGAAGAAAATAATGTGTGTGGCTGTTGTTTTCGTGGTGTGTATCTAAAACAATTTGACATAACATTACACATTAAGACAAATATTATGGTTACTTTTACCGTCATAATAACATTCGTCCCTGACTGCCGCCTTTCTCTGCTTTTAACTAACCTTGCATTTAACAGCCTGAGGAGACATCCTGGCTACACCAACATCTTCTAATACAACAGATCTCTAATCAATATTTATCTATCTAAGAAATTACCTAACAGACTGAACAAATATATTTCCTCTTAATATATGCTACATGCTGCTAAGCTAAGCTAACCACGAGCAGCTTTATATTTAGCATACAGACATGAGAATGGCATTGATCTTTTCATGTTCTTGGCTTGCTGTTGATAGAAATACATTTTAAATGGGGAATCAGCTTTGAGGGGCAAACACAAAACTAGCAGTAGCTTTGTTTGTATCAGAATCAGAAGCAGAACGTCACACACAAAATAGATGTCCGGCTTCACTGCTAATGACCTTAAATATTCAGGCCTAGCCTAAGGCCATAAAATCAAAAGACACATACTGTAATTTGACTATTCCAGTGTTGCGCTCCAGTTCTTGTTACCATTGCTAACTCTGAGAGACGAGGCAGTCCAAGTAACTTCAAAACAGTGCTGATTTATTCAAAGGATCACAGGTAAAGTTAACATTACACGCTCAGGTATCTTGCACCTCCAAACTGCACGCAGGCAGATGTAAGATGAAAGACCCTGAACCTACCAGGCCTATACATTATATCTCTTCGGTTGGGCTAGCCCCATACTACACAGAAACGTCAACCGAGACGTCTCTGTTGCCAGCTTTGCAGCTGGCCATAGCAGTAGTCAAAACATGAAGCAAATCAATGTGTGTGTGTCTGTTGGTTAAGTGGTGTGTAGCTAAAAACATTCTCACGACCTCTAGTAACATGTCGTGGCTTAAACATAAGAACCTATTATGGCTAAGGCTACAGTTATACACATCATAATAATATTAAACATCCTGTCTGCTGACAGTCATCAACTCTTCTCTCTAGTTATCCTTGACCAGATGTACCCTGTAGAAACTCATAAGCATGACTAAGCATTTAACAGTCTAACTAGACATCCTATCTCCACTAAACATTTCTAATACATAAAGTATCTATCCAATATCTATCTGACTAAAAATACCTAACACCAGTATGTAGTGTTATAGATTTTATCGATAGAGCACAGCTTCATTAGAAGTCCTTGTGGGATCTTTGCACTAATTAGCTGCCTTACTCCTCAGCAATGTGCGAAGCTTTACGCTGAAGGCTAGAGAAGACCAGAGGCACAATGACTGGACTGGTTCCTACATTTTAACATTATTAAAGCCTTAACTTTCAAAAAGCATGGTTTTATTTGTCTCAAACTGATTACAATTTCTGGCATTTCACTGCTTCTAGTAGATAAATCATGCGAAAACTCTGGAAACAGTAACAGAAGCAACTAGATTTGATGCAAAGGTGGACACAGGAGACCTAGAAATATCATTAAGGAGTATACACTCCTTAATGCTACGCTGAAGAACGGCAGCTTTCTGACGTGTGCACCCATGTGATAGAAACAAAACATGTCTAACATCTCCTCCTGCCATTTTCAGACATCCAAACCGCTAAGGTCTGAGACGTGAGACCTGAGCATCACGTAGACAGAACAGAAAAGCTATTATTGCGTCTGATGAAAAACAGGTAGATTGCACTGTATTTCAGCCTGTGGCTAAGGCCCTGCAGGGCAGGGACAATAAAGTGCTCTCCAAATGAGCTCAACATCCCAGGAAATAGGACACAGCCGCTTCCCCATGCTCTCCTCAGGCCAGACATTATACTGTACATTAGATCTGTCTCACTGTCATTTGTAGAGAGCTGCTGCCTCAGCCTGTGGGCACGCTCGCTCCAGCACCTCACTCAGGTTCGGCTGCATTTGCAGGATAAATGAAGCTATATTGAGTCATCTGGAACTTTGTGTCATATCAGTGAATTAGCATATTTATGTTTTTAAACTTTCTTCTTCTTCCTTTGTCAGGTTTTATTGTTGTGTTTTCAGCTTCAACAGGTTATTTTCAGTTAGATATCTAAGCAGTGCAACACACTGGACTGCATCATATTGCATGAAATGTGCATAAATACAACTTTATTTTTAATTCAGTTGTTTCATTGTAATGCCACTGTGAGTACTTTTGTTGTTTACATAGTCAGTTTAAATGATTGTGATGGGCTATTTTGGTAACTTAGTTTGAGCAGGTTATTGTACTAAGCAACATTTTACTGTCATGATAGTGTGTATTATTGGAAGCGGAGCCACAGTTTGTAGTTTCTTTCTTCATGTTTCTTTCCTTCCTTCTTCCGCTCTCTCTTCCTCTCTGTGTAAAGTGTATAAAGTGTATTAAGATGATTTTTTTAAAACTAGGCACTAAATAATTTCAGGTAAATTTACCTTCTTCTTCCTTTTTCTCACCATCCAGTCTACTGTCACCCACATTCTCATTGTGCTCGTGTGTGTATGAGGGTGTGCTAGTTTTATTGTTTTTGAGAGCGACGGCATAAAGTCAGCCACCCTGGTCATGCTCCAGTGAAGTGGTGGGGAGTTTCATTACGCTGTGAATAATGATCACATTGTGATTACGTTGATTAGATTTCATGAATATTTGAAAGGCGAACCAAATAGCAGATTAAATATTTACTGGTGGTTTCCTTCCTGACAGACTGGGAGATCATATCACATCTCCCAACTGACTTACTGTAGCCTACTGTACTGGAAAGTCTCAGCGCTACACTTGAATATCTGTGATCATATGTTTATCAGCTTTATTGTTGTCACTTTTAATTAGGTTTATTTTAGGTGGATAGCTGTTTGCATGTGATGGTGCATTTTTTTGTTTTGTATAATTGTAATGATAGCAACAAATATGCCAGACGTGAAAACACCAGCAGATGTTTTACTCATCTGCTGTTCCTAGCTGAGATTAAACAATGCATCACCTAAGTAAAAGTACCAATACAACATTGTAAAAATACTCCACTGCAAGTAAAACTCCTGCATTCAAAATTTTAGTACACAGTAAAAGTTGTAGTACACAAGAAAATGTAACAAAAAGTACAAACTATTAAAAGGAAAAGTACTTGTTCTTCAGAAAATGCCCTCTGTAACTGATGTGGTAATACAGATGCATCAGTGTAAAAACTGCATTTTACTGAGGTAGAGGTACTTCTAATTACAACACATACAGATAAGGTGCTCGGTCTAAGTCATGAGATGGTAATGGAGGGAGGAAGAAGAAAAACAGTTGAAGGCTATGACATAAGTAGTAGTAAGTATTTTATTGCTTTTTGGTAAATTGACTCCATTAAAATACACCGAATTGACTATTAGCAGTCTCTGTTTTCAGTGTATGCATGGCTGTACAGATGACTGTCATTAGATTACTTTACTGATACTGAAGTAAATTTAAAAACATGATGGTGATTTTCAGACAAGTTCCGGTTTTAAGGAGCATTTTTTTTATTATTCTTAAATAAGGGCTACGAGTGGTTTAACAATCTGTTAAATGCTGTTAGCTGTTACTATTTTGATTTTTTATGCCATTACTTTTGCCTTACAGATATTAACCTAAACAAGCTGCCTTTTAGGAAACGTGGAGCACAGGCGGCTCCAAGTGGCGGTGAGAGGTAACTGTGTGAAGTTCATGGACTTAAAGCTCTATGAATTTATAGGGATGCACACATGTATCTTAAACAGAAGGCTGTGACTGGCAGAGGGTGGAATCAGTTTACATCTGCCCTCACAGAAGTGTTTTGTATGTACTCCAGAAAGATGTGTTCGCTCTGCTGATAAAGCAGTGGATCACAGTGAGGAGATCTTCACTGAGCTGATCAGTCTCCTGGAATTGATGCGCTCTGATGTGAAGCAGCAGATCAAGCACAAGTTTATCAGAATGTGGCACTGCTAATGCAGTTAGTTCATGTTATGTCACTGTTGTAGGTCTTCATGTACTGACAGAAAGTTTAAATTGTGTATTTTTAAAGAGGTTAAGTACTCAAGTAATCATAGTTAGGTACTTTCTATATATTTTTGCACTTCAAATGCTAATAATGATCACGTCACTGACCTGGCTTCCATTTAATGTCATTCTCTACGTTGTCAGCTGTTTGCAGATATGAGGTTTTCCACTAGACGTTGCTCTTTACACAGTATCTCTGTCAGACCGCTCCTCTTCCTGGGTCTCAGCCTGATAACTCCTCCCTCTTCTTTCACACAAAGCTGTTCCACTCTGTCCACATGTTTCTCGTTCCCTCCCCTTCAGAGCTACAACTTGAGGATGGGTGTAACCAACGTGGTGTGAGCTGACAGGCCCCGTTCACTACAGAAACACATACCATGTAGATCAGAGTTCAAACTAGTTTCATTTATCAGAAAGTAAAACTCAGACAGTCGTTGCCACAGAGAGGTGAAATGGCGCAGAAAAGAGTTCAGCTGGACCAGGACACAGTTTCGTGTTCCATCTGCCTGGATCTACTGAAGGATCCGGCGACTGTTCCCTGTGGGCTTAACTACTGCGTCAGCTGTATAAAATCTAATTGGGATGGTAGGAGGATCTAGAGACATAGCTCTAAAGACATATGCCCAGCCAAAGGAAAGCAATGCAAAAAATGCTAAAAGTTGAATCACTTTGCAAAAGCATGTAGATCCAAGGTCCCAGAGCAATCAAAACCCCGCTATAAGATGATTCATTCAGTCAGAGAAAATAACTACGCACAAGGACGTCACACCGACAACATAGGACTTTACATAGACAGCATCACAATCGAAAACGAAGGCGACAGCAATGAACAAGCTTATATGGATTTGGAACTTGGATCACCCCCAAGAAAAATAAGATTTAAAGTGGACACTGGTGCACAGGCCAACACCATTCCAGCAAACATGTTTTGAACCCTATTTCAAAATGTCACACTGAGACCCGCAACTCAGAAACTCACAGATTATGGAGGGCACCCACTGAGTGTGGACGGCATATGTAAGCTAAGATGTAGACATAAAAAACAGTGACTGCTACTGGATTTTCACATTGTTAACACTAGTGCCCCACCAATTCTGGTGATGAAAGCCTGCAGAGACCTAAATCTCATCCAAATTGTGATGGCTGTGACTGAGGGAAAACAAATACCAACATCGACTCACAAAGCTTACTTAAAGAGTTCGCAGATGTATTTCAGGGCATTGGACAGTTCCCAGGAGAATGCACTTTCAGCATCGACCCAACAGTTACACCTGCCGTTTGCTCGCCATGCAGGATCCCCTTTGCACTGCGAACCCGACTCGAAGAGGAACTCGACAGCATGGAGAAGGACAACATCATCTGCAAAGTCACAGAGCCCACAGCTTGGGTGAACGTACTTGTTGCTGTAGAGAAGCCAAAATCTAAGAAACTCAGGATATGCCTAGACCCCAGACCGCTGAACAAGGCAATACAATACTCATTACCCCCTGCCCACGCTTGAGGATGTCACATCTAAGCTTGCAGGAGCAAAGTACTTCAGTGTAGTTGATGCTAGGTCAGGATACTGGACAATCAAACTGAATCATGAGTCTTCCCTGCTAACAACTTTCAACACTGTGTTTGGCAGGTACTGCTTCCTCAGATTGCCCTTCGGCATAATTTCAGCCCAAGATGAGTTTCAGCGTCGAGTGGACGAAACCTATGAAGGTCTTGAAGGCGTTGCTGCCATCGTCGATGATGTACTTGTGTTTGGCAAGACCAAAGAGAAACATGATCAGAATCTCAAAGCCATGTTGCAACGCACAAGAGACAGAGGCGTAAAGCTAAACCCCAACAAATGTCGCATCTGTGTACCTGAGGTCAGCTACTCTGGACACACACTGTCACAAGATGGTTTAAAACCAGACCCCCACAAAATTAAAGCAGCCCAGGAGATGCAACCACCAGAGAACAAGGCGGAGCTAGAGACAGTACTAGGTATGTTCACCTACCTGGCCTGGTTCGCTCCCCATCTCTCTGAGATCAACGCGCCACTGCGACAGCTGCTAAAAGAGGACAGTAACTTTGTGTAGAATGCTAGCCACGACAGAGTATTTCAACAAATGAAAGACTTAATAACTCAACAACTTGGCCCAGTATTGGCATATTTTGACCCACTGAAAGAGCTACGGCTCCAGGTGGATGCCTCAAGAAACGGCCTTGGTGCAGTCATGCTCCAAGATGGCAAACCAGTTGCTTATGCATCAAAATCACTCAACAGCACTGAACAGAACTATGCACAGACCGAGAAAGAGCTATACGCCGTACTGTTTGGTTGCAGGCATTTCCATGAGTACGTTTATGGTCGCAAGGTCATTGTGGAGTCAGACCACAAACCACTGGAGTCAATACTAAAAAAAACTCTCACAGCCGCACCGCCACGACTACAGACAATGATACTACAGCTACAAAGATATGACGTCAATATCACCCACCTGCCAGGAAAAGATATTCCGGTCGCTGATACTCTGTCCCGGAAATCAATTGCGCACCATGACCAATCCCCGAATGAGAGCATGGAAGCACATGTGCACACAGTCATGAGTAGCATCCCTATAAGTGACAAGTGACTGGCAGAAATTGTAGATGCAACAAGCCAAAACACCCAGCTCACCCTTATGAGACGAGTGTCCTTGGACGGCTGGCCAGAGACCAGGTCATCATGCCCTCCCAGCATCCAAGAATACTGGAACTACAGAGATGAAATCGCTGAGATTGACGGAATCATGTTTAAAGGGGAGAAGATCATCATCCCCAGTAAACTCAGAAAGGTCATGTTAGAGCGCATACATGCGAGCCACATGGGAATAGAAAAGAGTAAGAGCAGGGCGAGAGACATCTTGTTTTGGCCTGGCATGGGACAACAAATCGAAGCAGCGGTAGCAGCCTGCAACATATGCCAAGAATGCTGCAACTCGAACCCCAGAGAACCCTTAATGTCTCACCCTGTACCCAAAAGGCCATGGCAAGTCATCGGAACAGATCTGTTCACTTGGAACTCAAAAGACTACATTGTCATAGTGGACTACTTCAGCAGATATTTTGAGCTAGAGAGACTACTGAAATCAGCAATGGCAAGACACGAGATCCCAGAGATTGTCATCAGTGACAATGGTCCATGCTACAGCTCCCGTGAGTTTGCACATTTCACGAAAATGTGGGGATTCATGCATAACACCACTAGTCCCCACTATCCACAGAGCAATGGACTTGCTGAAAAAACAGTTAAAACAGCAAAAAGGCTACTGGACAAAGCAAGAGCCGAGGACAAAGACCCATACCTCAGTCTACTAGAATATAGAAACACCCCAGTAGATAACCTAAAGTCACCAGTGCAACTACTTATGAGCCGCAGACTATGTTCCATCCTTCCCACAAAGGCTAATCAGCTGCAACCACAGGTTGCCTGTCTAAAGGGCATACGTGAGAGGAGAGAAGTTTGCCAACGTCGACAGAAGACCTACTTCAACAGATCCGCCAAACATCTACCCCCACTGCCTGCAGGTACACCCATCTGTTTCCTGCAGGGAGATGGTTCCTGGAAACCTGCAACAGTAACCCGGTCAACAAAGGCTAAAAGGAGCTACCTGTGCTTCATGTGCTGCCGTACATGAAGCACAGGTTAGTACCAGCAAATCGAGTTTTCAGGTCTAAGACAATGTAATCACTTAGAGGTTACATTTGTGTTCTGCAGTGGATACTCCAACACTGCAACACCTATGAAAAACTACCAGAAAATCAGTTCAAATACAAACCAGATGTGTAGTTCCACAGCCGGTGCTGTGTGTAAGGTGAGCACAACTAGTGTAGTTCTAATTGGTATCACCAGCTACTCTGTTAGATACTTCCTCCCCTTTGTTGTTCATTAGAGTCAGTCAGTGTTAGGAACAGCTATGGGCCAAGTCATTAGGTGGTGTCTGTAAGGAAAGCCATACCCTGTGTTTGTCAGAAACTGAAGGACTTAGTATCTATGTAAACATCTGCATGAAACACAACCCCTCACTTTCTGTCATTTATTTTCATTTGATAAACTCACAACTTCATTAACAGCTGAATACCTGTTTTTATGTTCAGTTGTGTATTTTTAGTACAAAGGGCACTGAGTCAGCATATTGTCATGCTGTCACAGTTTTATTATAATGACAAGTAAACACACCC